CTTTGTTTAGGCAGGTCGTTTCAATATTTTAAGTGTAATATTATGAAACCAGATCCCTCTGTGCCCAATTGTTCACAAAAGAACTGTTTCAAACACGGCTATGTTTGCAATTACATGTGTGCTTAAGCATTTTTCACTGCTCCTCCTTATATCTATGAGAGCCTCACCACATGTTAAATTAAGATGATAAAAATAGCATTCACCATGAAATCAAAATGTCCCTGCTAAGGTGTGTCAAAGCTTGAATGAATTATTAGATGAGCCTTACGAGCACATGGCTATCGTGGCCCAAGGGGTGATGGGGTCCCAAAAATAGAGACTCTATTTCAAGTGCCAGTTTTTAGAGACTAATATTGACATTTCTCATTGGAAAGTCCAAGAGCTCAGTCAAAAGTAAGGATGTCCTAATCACATTCTCTTTTGCTGATGACCCATTAACATTAAGTAACTGCTGAGGGTCACAAGATACATCTGAAGGTTCTTAAGATAATGGAAAGGAAAGAAGGAAAAACTAAATTCTGCCACAAAAATCACAGATTTGTTTTATACTTTTCTCTAATCTTTTAATCTAATCTGTCATTTCTCTATTTGTGTGTTTGAAATACATGAGAAATGTAGTCAAAGGTACAATATCTCCCTTTGAAATTAAGTGGAGTATATAAAGTAGCATTAAATGGAAATACTGAAGTAGAGCACCTCAAATTTGTACTTAAGTACAGCACTTGATTAAAGTACAGCATTATATATGGTTAACCTACAAAATGTTGGACTCTTGTTACATTGACTGAAGTCAGAGTTGATGTTTGTGTGTCTCGCCCTCAGGTCCCGTGCTTGATAAAGGAGTTATTGGAGAAGCACTTCGATTCATCTGAGGCCATTCAGAAGCTTCTGACCACCTCTGCTCCAATCAGCCATTCTGCCACCTCCTCTGAAGCAGACGGCCAAACCCACGCGCCTAAAGTGGAAGAAGCTTCACATGAATGGGTGACGAGATCAGAGGCAGGTCCACAGAGGGTCACAGCCTTCATACCATTTAAGCAGGTGGTGCCAACGACAGGATCTGAAGGCAGTCTCTCTGGTCAGCATGAATCCAGGCACAGCCCACCTTTCTCTGTATCTGACATCAGCACTGCTATCTATGAGAAAATGGCTGCCAGTTATGCTGCCAGACCAAAACCTGTCTATCCCCAAAGCCAACAGCAGCCTCCCCCGGGCACCAACCACGCTGACAACCTCCAGCAGGCCCATGTGTGCGGTGACAGCTGGGGTGGGAATCGCGGGGTAAAGGTAACGGTTTTGGAGCAGGATGTTGTGGAAACAACCTCCATGTCCGCCCAACAGATCCTGGATGATTTCCTGCAGCAGCTGCAGCCCTATAAGGAGGCGAGTGGAGGGAAGGGGCAGCAGGGTGTGCAGGAGTGGGCGGGAGGAGCGGAACAAACAGGCAAAGTGGCAGATTGAAAATGCCATCCAACAACATGGCAGAATGAATGTTTATTCTCATCTTATTGCATTGAAATGTGTTTTTATTCATATAAGCCAGATGTATTGTATATATATCTCCAAAATACCAGACAATCAGTTTTTTGGGGGGTTGTATATAATATTTAGACTTTTAGGTGTACTGTTAAGGATTTTATAAACCACAGTCCACAGAGGAAAAGGAAGGAAATTCTTTAATATTTAAAAATAAGAATTGCCAACATTGGAAGTACAATATTTCCACACACAAAAAGATCTGTACTTTCACTCTAAGTGAAAAAAATAGTAACAAACCAATTAAATACCAAAATATATGTATAAATATATGTATATATATGTAATAAAGAAGAGAAATACAGTTATAGGGAGCTATTTCCAAGTATGTAATATAAATATATTTCCATTTAAGTGGTAACTTTAATTATATGTAATTTAGTGTCTTCCCTGACTCTGCTGACCTGTAATTTCTTGCCAATTTAACAGAGAACATGTCAATCACATAACAATTCGCCAGCATACAACGTCTTCAGTGTTACTGCTGAGTATCAAAATGGCCTCCGTGCTTTCACAGGAGCCAGTGTGAAGAGACACAATGACAAAAATAACTCATGCAGTGTTATCTATGATTTTAAACATTGAGATGATGTGAAGAATTGCCTTTTAAAATGATTTATTTTAAGATAAATGCTGAATATTTTTAGATAGAATCAGCTCTTCACCTCAGGAGTGGGCTCAACAGCTACAGCTGACCTATTGGTACAAAGAAAGACCAGGTTTTTAAAAGTCATCGGTTTTATAAACATTTGAATTAATGTGAGATAGTGTTGCTATCGATTGATATAACTTAAAAAATGACAGAGAATGATAATAAATCCAGCACAAGCATCTCCTGCTGAGAGAGACCCACTCTCTTGGAGAAACGCATCTGCTTTATTCTGTTTTCAGCAGATGACATAAATAGTCTTCTTTCAACAACAGCCTGTTGTACCATTAATTACAATTATTCTATTTTTTACTTGTTAATATTTATTTAACCAGGTTGTACATGCAGAGACTTGTGTAAATATTCATTCACTCTTCGTATGTGTACATAAAATACATGAACCTTGGTGGCCCTTCCGTTCTAAAATGATATTGGTCGATGTTTAAAGCTGCTGTAGTGAGAAGAACAAAAATATAAAAAGTATTGTGACGATGTAGATTGGACAGAGTGCAGCAGCAACATATTAATGTTATTCTAATCTCTACAGCCCCCATCTCTCATTAGTGTACACTTTACCCTCGTAATTATGCAATTATGAATACTGCTAGTCTATTCAAAATGTAACTGTGTCATGACAGTTGTTCTTCCAATAAAGATAATCGTCTTAAATGAATGCAACATCTCAGATTACAGCTCATTATTCATCATTTCTGGTTCTCTCTCTTCTTGTTAATTATGCACATCATTTGGAGTAATCCCTCTTTATATAACATAGAGACAGCTTGGCTCTTCTTAGACCCTTAACATTAGCTGTACTGCACATGTTACATGCTTGGTGATGTGGTGGCTAGCCCAGGGTTCGATTCCCAGGCAAGACGGGCCTTCTGTGTGGAGTCTGCATGTTGTCAGCGTGGGTTCTCTCCGGGTTCCTCCCACAGTCCAAAGACATGCAGCTTTGGTTAATTGAAGACTCTAAATGGCCTGTAGGTGTGAATGTTTGTTTCTATCTTTGTGTCAGCACAAAGTTTGCCGACCTGTCCAGGGTGTACCCTGCCTTCGCCCAATGTCATCTGAACAGGACAAGTGGTTATAGATAATGGATGTTAAAATGTGTTTTTCTCTAACCAACATGTTGGATGGACTGACCGACTGACCAACATCGACATCTCTGTTGCTAGAGGGCTGAGCAGGTTTACTCATTATGTCAATGTGAGCGAGTCACCATCAACCTCACAATTTAAAGACATCACTGGAGATGTTATTAATAGAAAAGTGGGAAAAGGAAATCAATGGATAATACATTGATATGAGGTGAGGGTTTGATTGAGTTTTGTGTTTGGTTTGTTGGGGGAGCTGGGGACACACGACTGGCTTCAACATGACTACAGCTCTGACTCAAGCTGTCATAAATATTCATAACAACAGTTTAATCCTATTGATCCAGCACCATCAACCTCCCTTCCTATTGCACATTATACATAATCCCATACTAGCACAAGTCTCTTCTCCAAAGTACTCTCTGTCTCTGTTATCATCCTCCACAAAATCCTTGAGATCATTTTGGGGACAAAAGTCACTTCATTTCAGTCGATAAATTGGTGCACCATCAGTGGATATTGTGGGCTTTCTCTTTTTGTCATAAGTTCACACAGTCGTATACAGTTGGGTGTTGTGTTATTGTGATGCCACATCTTAAATACTCCAAGTAGGTTTTCAGTTTTATAAATTTGGAACAGGCTCATTTGTTTTGAATGGATTTGGGTTGAGGTCTGCTAGTTGGGTGAAGGAGTTCGTCAAAGGAAACATAATTGTTTTGTGGGATATAAACAACACAACATAAGTACAGAAAACAGGTCACAGACATCACCAATGCAATTCCAAAATGACTCATTGTCTATGACTTGTTAGCAGCTCCACCAAACTTTTACACAGTTTTATCTAAAAAACTGTTCGAGGCAGAATGAGGCAAAATTAAACAGAAAAAAACAAACAGAACTTTTGTTTTCTTCTTTGTTCTCTCATTAACTATATCGTGACCCCTCAGAATGATCTTGTGTACCTTTAGAGGAACCTGATCCCCAGGCTGGGAACCACTAAACTACCAAACTGTGTATAATAAAGTATAGCCCCACCTCGACCTGCTACAACAGTAAAATGCTGCCTACTGATGCAAGAGTATTCACAATCTAATAATGTCATAAATAATTTATATCAGTTAGAGACCATTTTTCTGCAGAATAAGTACTTTTACTTTTGATACTTTAAATACCTTTAGCTATTAATACCTCTTTTACTTAAGTAGGATTTTGATTTACTTGAAGTAATGTTACACTGTTGTATTGGTACTTTTACTTAAGTAAATGATCTGATTACTTCTTTTGTTAGTATTTTAAGTCAAATCTGGAACCTTTTGGGCGTGTTTCAAGTCTTCCTCTCTTATATTACTGCGTATCTTTTCCTTATTACACAATAAAAACATTTATTGCTGCTAAATTAGATTGACTTTATCTTTACTTATTTCCCACACTCCAACAATCTAATGATGTTGCTCCCATTTAGCCTCAGCTAACTGCGTCTATGTATCTACTCTGTCTCCGAGGCGTCCATAGTGTCCAGCCTGTGCTGATGGGTTTCAGGTAAGTCCACCTGTCATCATAGTCCAGTAGTCCCTCCCATACTATGGGTCTATCAGAACAAGTTTGCTGATCACACACTGGCCTGCTTTCCCATTGGCCTCTGGACTTTAATAGGATCCCATGGACTCTGTTGGGGGGATTACGGCTCCAAACTCTCGACTTTGGCCAGTCTCTGTGTCCTCCAACCATGGGAACAGTGGTTTAGGGGGTCACCGCACATGCACAGACCCAGACCCAGAGGGGCACCATCAAAAGACAACATCACGTCAAGAGAAAGGAATCACCTTGAAGGGGGGCAACGGCAGTGTGATCAATCAACTTTAGGGGAAATCATCATCTCTGGAAAAAGGAATACCTCTTATCTTCCATAATTCATGATTTAACTATTATCTGACATTTTCCATGGTATTGCTTCACTGATTTGGATTATAAAATATCTTTTTCGGACAATTTCAGCATCCAAGTGAAAGCTTTTGGATTATCCTCTGAGGTCTACTGTGTCCTTTACCATCTGAGGGATCTACCTGCTTATCCCCTCCACCCGGAACAACTTAGATGAGCTCAACCTGCTAATAACTCACCAAACAACAAGTGCAAGGCCTGCAGTGACCCCTGTGTTTCTGCAACACTCTCTTGTGTCCTCTTTACATGCAGCTGGCCTCCTCTGGATTGACACTCAATTTTTGACCAGAATTGACTGAACTCTTCCTCTCTTTCTCCTCTTCTCGTCTCTTCTTTACATTGATCGGTGCATGGTAGTGAGCCATGGTGCTGCTGAAGATAAAGTTCACCCAGCAGCGGCGGGTGCATCTGGCCCAGGGCCTGTGGCTGCTCTCCTGGATGGCAGTGTTGTGGGGGGGCGTCATCTTTTGTCTGGGGGTTTACCTTAAGACAGAGTTGCTCCGTAGGGCCGAGGTAGAGAGAGGGAAATACACTCATATGCACACAGATGATTGCAATGTCAACTAAAAAACCAAGCTTGAAAAACACTGGATTGAATTAATTTAAAGTTACACAAACATAGGTTTATATGCTCAGACTTTTGCCTTTTCATTGTGGTTGTTTACTGAGTCTGCTGTGCTGCCGCTTATCAGTGACTTTTATTTAAATTTAGCTCTTCAGTTTAATCCACAAATACAAACACGCAGCACACACAATACCAGTGTAAACATGCACACAGTGACACTCAGGCACAGTCATGCATGTTAAGTCATGAGGACATTGTGTATTCAAACGCTATCAAAATCGACATTTGTTTCCAAAGTCATTGACGTTTAATGTGTATTGAATTTAGGTAGCGTGACCAGCAGGTGAAGGTCATGGCCTCCACCAGCTGTCTGTCATAGTGCTGGATTGATCACTGATTGATTCGGATAGGTTGCATGCAGTGATATCCAGTGGGCTGCACAGGAAACCTGCAGGCCATGAACACACGCCTTCAGATAGTTATTGATCTCCAACAAGAGATTCCATAATCTCTTGGTTGTGTAACAAAGAAAAATATATAATTTAGACAGTGCATTTTGCACTTTACTACAGATCATTGACAAACCTGATTATTCCACAGCCAGAGGCTGATGTTATTGTCCTGAACTGGATAGATATTACAGAATGATTATTGTTACAGAATGAGATTTTTAATAATCTTAAAACAACAATGGGGCCGAGGCACTATATGGCTGACAGGCTATTGAAAACTCAGCCAATAATAAACTCTATAATTGGCTTTTGCTGTAACAAGGGCAATTAATTAAATTTGTCATCATATTGCCATAGTAGCCTTTGCATCAAGTATATCAGCAGCTAATTGAAGCTCTTGGCTGAATAGATAAGGCTAATTGAATGCAGGATTATTACCTGTTAAAGTATTTAGAGAGGAAATGACAAAAGTGACCTGCAGTTGGCTGCTGCTCTTGTGGTTAGAATTGTCTTTGACTGTGCTTTTGCTTTCTTGAGGTGATGGACAACACAGAGATCCACGTGGTTCCCAACATCCTGATGATGGTGGGCCTGGCCTCCATCTGCACCAACTGGGTAGCTAGTCGTGTGTGTCAGGACTCCATGGACCCGACTCGCTTCCCCCGTTGGAAAGTTCCCCTGCTGGCTTGGTTTGCTGTATCTGCAGTGCTCTGTTGTCTTCTCATTGCTGTAGTTGTGCTCAGCTACGCCCTGCAGGGAAGCCTGGAGGAGTCCCTGAAGGTGGGGTCACTATAATGATTGTGACAATTCAAGAGGTGGAGGAGGTGTCACTAGATGTCTGTCCCATAACAAGATGGTGTTTTCTGATCCTCAAGCAAAACACAAAATGAAACCTGCTCCCCCTGAGCTGCAGTGAATGAGAGAGACAGCAACCTATCTAAAATAAAAGATGAAAATGAAAGTGTCTCAGACGAAGATAAAAAAAACAGAACAGAACCAAACAGTGTGCATTTATCAGTATAACAGAAAACATTCACCATTGTCTGGTCATTTTAAATTTATATAATAAATATAATTTATAAAATATAGTGAAGAATTAAAGCTCTCACCCTTGTTTAATGTCTGTTTTCGACAGATATAAACAGAAAGCAGCGTCATCTTTGACATACAGTACAGTAAAACCATTGTTGAAAACATCTAATAAAGCACACACTTCTATCTTTTTTTCTCCTCTCGCTCCACTGTCAGGTCGGCCTGAGGAATGGCATTCGGTTCTACAAGGACACAGACGTGCCAGGCCGCTGTTTTCAGAAAGAAACCATTGATCGTCTGCAGATGGAGTTTCTCTGTTGTGGAAACGACAACTTCAAGGATTGGTTTGAAGTTCAGTGGGTCAGCAACAGATACTTGGACTTCACCTCCAAGGACGTCAAGGAGTGAGTGAATGACAATACAGGGAACAGCAAGTTATGAGATGCAGGGTGGTGGCAGGATGGAAGAAAAGAAATTGGACTGATGAGGGGTTTGCAGGAAAGAGAAGAGAAACCTAGATAAATGACAGATAACTAGACTTCACATCCAAAAAGGTCACAGAATAATATAGAGGGGATGGAGGGAGAAAGAGAATGATTTTAAAGTAGAGGAAGAGTGTAATAAAAATAGATCTGGCCTTTACTTTGGAAGAGAATGACAGAAATGGATGGAAAGGTTGGTCATGAAGCAAGCAAAGAAAGGTTGGTCAAAGATGAAATGAGTGAAAAGGAATGAGTGAGCAGAAAGGTTAAGACGTGATGACACTTGAAGAGATGAGCTGCTCATTTCTCACTAATGCTAAGTGTGTATTGAGCTAAAAGTCAGGCCTTAAAGTTCCCTTTCCTCTTACTCTTCCAATCTGTTTCCATTATCTATCTTCTCAATGTCACTCCCTCCTCTGTCTCCAGTCGAATCCGGAGTAACGTGGACGGCCGTTACCTGTTGGATGGTGTTCCTTTCAGCTGCTGTAACCCCACCTCCCCTCGCCCCTGCCTGCGGTACCACCTGACAGATAACAACGCCCACTTCAGCTACGATTACCAATCAGAGGAACTCAACCTGTACAGCCGCGGCTGCAGGCAGGCACTGACCGACTACTACATGGAGCTGATGAACTCAACTGGTCCTGGTGTGGTGTCAGTCATCTTCATACAGGTGAGCTGCATGACGGCATGAACATAAACACACACAGTTATTCTGTCATTTGTGGTAAAGTCACAGAGTGTTCATTTATCTGTCGCAGTGTGGGCCAAATACCAGTATTGACAGCACACTCTCAAACAAGACCTCCAGCTGGAGCAGGACACTCATGCACATGTTTAACAGTGCATCATCACACACCGCCTACAGCTAAACAAACAATCCATTCTTTTAAATGCAGAGGCTCAGCATGGTGTTTTTTCTAGTGGTCCATGATGGCAACAGATGGCTGCCATGCCAAGAGTTAATGAGGCCTCAAGCTGAGTTGTGGTTAATGTCTGATTTTCAAGCAATATATACTGTATAGCCAAAAGACCGAACAAAAGGGGGAAGAGGATGACCAGTTGACCTTCTCATTAGGTGACAATTACCAAATGAGATTCATTGCTTCTTTCTGTCCAGCTGTCAGTGCTTCTGAGCCTGCGGTACCTGCAGACGGCTGTGGAAACAGCCATGGTTCTGGAGGACCCAGAGGGCGACAGCGAGGGTTATCTCCTGGAGAAGGGTGTGAAAGAAACCATTGAGGACCTCAAAACCAATGCCCTCACTATCCTAAAGTTTGGGCAGGTTGACCCCAACGCCGCCGAGGGGTCTTCTGAGGCTGCAGACGTCGAGAAAGAAGCGAAGGATGCGCCCCCTACTCCTGCCAGTTAGAGGGGAACAAATGTTGAGCTGAGGGGGAAGGGATAGTTTCTTGGTTGTGTGAATTGGCAGGTGGCAGGTAAAACACCTTCACCACAACTCCCTCGCACATGGCCAAAACAAGGCAACAAACAGGGAATCTTATCAGGCCAACCAAAACACCTCCTCTGTGAAGGACCTCATGTGTAACCATCAGAGAACCTGGCGAGGAGATGTGTAGTACTTTTTGTTGTAACTAGAAGAGAGTGCATTCAGTTTAAAGGGGTGTAGCATTCACACACACACAATGAGACATATTTAACACGTTTTGACATTTGGCTCAAAACTGGAAAAGCCATCACATGATGCTGAAATTCATCCCATGAGCACTGTATTATTCGTCTCACGGCTGTAGAGTTATTAAACTGCAATGAAATGCTTAAGAACCTGTTAAAATGGCACATGAATTATATGCTAAAGGTAGAAGTTTTTGTCTGCTTTGTAGTGTTGGCTTCCATTTGTACAATAAGTAATATAATAGAGGAGCAAATTTCCCAGAGTATGGGTTATCTGAGTTCAGTCAGGAGAGTTGGATTAAGTGTGTGTATGTGTGTGCGTGAGTGTGGTGCCCTATATGAAGCTGTCATCTTGTCTATTCTGGCAGCTCAGAAACAATCTGATAATCCTGATGTGGTTAATCCCAGAACTGCTGCACAAGCAGTATCAGCACACACGCCGTCATTCAGGGACAGACAAAGCACACTGATACAAGATGTTGGAAGTTATTTTGTAAAGCAAAACATTTTTTCGAATGCTTTTTATTTGCAAAGAATATAGCATTGAGATATTTCCTACCTATCCACTGTGTGCTCATTCTTCTTAAATAAAACTCTATCACAGAATAAGGTCAGTGAATGTTTTATTTTAGCAGATAAACATGAAGACATGCTTTTTAATTAGAAAATGTGGTTTTAGTCTTAGTCATGCTCTTCAAAACTGTCAACAATTCAATTATGTATATTACAGTAGCACAATGGGAAGTAAAAGGTTACGTATGGTAGTTTCTTTGTATAATTAATATTAGAAAGTGAATAGCCTTTACAAATCAAATCGAATATGCATTAAAAAAAGACAACAAACACAATATTACAAAATTTTCGTCACTTCTACAAATGTAAGATTCCTAGTAATTAAATGAACTTGTGTACATACAAAGGAGTCCACACTGTTACACGCATACCATCAAAGATAAATCAGATAGTTAGATATTGAGAAAGAATGAAGTTTATATGACAAAATCCACAGATCTACAAAATGACGCATATGCAGATACAGAGATCATTTCTTAACATAATGTTCACTGCACAGGAAGTGCAGCACCTAAATTAAAGACGCGCTGCTTGGTTACACTTCCCTAGTGATGTTGTTATAGAAATAATGATGTAATGCATCACTTTTAAAATGGGCAACGAGGCACTTTCATGTGAAACCACCGGAGTTCGCTGTTGCACAGTGCTTGAATCGGCTTGAACATTGTGTGGAAATGGAACAATAATGCACTACAACTTCAAGGTAATAACTCCAGTCTAAACCTTCGTCATTTTCACCGGAGAACATCAAGTTATTGACCAGAAATAATACAGATGCAAACATTTCCATTTAGCCGGTTACAGGTGACATTCATTCAAAATGTGTCCAGTATACTAAATTGGGTCTGCTGTCATATTATTTAAAGCGCACAAGAGAAAAAATGAGGCCCAAATCTCCAGCGTTCAAATCCAGATTATCTGTCTCACAAAACCCAACGCGCGTTTTTATGATTTTTTTTTTTGTATATTGTTAGTCATATAGTATATTTAAATATATCTGTGTAGGTTAGCCTATGTGTGGAGGGCGTGTGAAGATGTCGGCTCAACAAAAAAAAAACAAAAAAAACGCAACATGTGCCTCTTGAAAATTCCGGTGTGGTTTTGCAATGAAACTAACTGTCACACAGTCAGAGAGGAAGAGACAGCGAGCTGAAGGGAGGGGAAGGGCCGCAGAAATGTCAAACTACTTCACTTGACGAACGATGGCTTCTCTGTATTTGATTCATTACTACATACATAGTGTTGATAATATTTTTAATTAGCTTTCTTCTGTAGTGTTACACAGCCCTCGTAACACGATGGACTCTAACATTATGGAGATAATTGAAGAATTCATGGAAAGTGCGTTGGCGCAATGGGTACGTCATTTATCATTAATCACTTCTAATTAGAGAAAAGGGGTCATCATTTCTAGAGGCAGAGAGGAAAATAAAACAGGCCGTTTGTGTGGAAACTGTGTAGAAATCCGCCATGGACAATGAAGGGTGCTGCAGTTATTTCCAGTCACAAATATTTACGACATTGTATCTTTCAGAGCAGCCCGCTTTCCAGTTCTATTCAACCAATAACTATAAAAGTAAGAGTTGAATAAACAACAACAAATAGCATATTGCTTTCTGGCTGTTGTAGCAAAACAAGCACCCTACTTCTCCTTTTGGCAGCTTCCCTTGCCTCTTGTTGGCCAGCCGTTTTTTTTTGCCTCTAAAGCCTCGATACTTCCGTGTCCCTAGGCTGTTTTGTGTACGTAAGAGGATACAGTCGCTTAAATTCAGTTGAGGATTTGTGCACTTGTAACAGACTGGATTTCCAGCTGGGTTTCCACACGGGAAACCAAACAGCCAAAGGGGATATTCCCCCCATTCTGGTCAATGAACAGTATTTACAATATCATGTAATACTGAGCCGAGCCTTGTGGGGATGTTCTCTTAATTGTTGCCCTCATCTGAAGAGGGGGGGGTCACAGGTCAGGTGCAACAGGATGCCTGCAGCTGGGAGAGCTTTAATATTTGCTCAAGGGCTCTTCAGCAGTGCGGTCATTCACTGGCATGATATGTCGAAGGACACCCGCTGCCGCCCCGTTTACCCTGTCACACAGGGTCTCTGGCTGCTCTGCCTCACCTTATCAGCTGAACCAACTCGAGCTTGTTAATCTGTTTACCGACAGTGCAGTTTTTAGAAGGTGCAGGTGGGAATAAACCTCATTATATTGCAGTTTGCATTGGCACAGCTCTTCTTAGCAGAGAGAGAGAGAGAGAGAGAGAGAGAGAGAGAGAGAGAGAGAGAGA